GGATATGACAGACAGACAAACAAAGACAGACAGACAGAAAGACATCCAGTATACTATACAATATATAACCTTTTTTTGGTTGAGTTAGATCAGACTTGTGGTACCTAGAGATGCTGTGTGATGAACAAAAGTAAGAGAAAGTGTCCTCACATATTGCATTACAGTACGGTATGCTGGTTTAACAACAGCAGACAGGAAGGCCCTACAGAGAGTGATCAATTCGGCACAAGAAACCATTGGTTGCCCTCTGACACCACTGGATGACATCGCCAGGTCTCGCTGCTTTAGCAGAATACGGAAGATACTCAGAGATGATTCACACCTTGGTCAGTGTCTCTTCGCACTTCTACTATAAGACAGAAGACATCAAAGTATAGCCAGCCGAACAAAGAGGTTTAAAGATAGTTTCTATCCTTGGGCTGTGAGACTTTTAAATACAACTGCAATCACTCCATGCTAATATTTTTTCTTTTTCTTTCTTTTTTTCCTTTCTGCTACAATTTGGCACCAGTGAGGTTAAAACCAATTTCGTTGTATTTAAATACAATGACAATAAAGATTATATTCAAGAGGAAGAGAAGGCTTGGGGAAAGTTTGCAAAGCAGAGAAACCACCAGATCGCTATTGATGCCTCTTATAGAGCCACCAGAGGTCTAAGAGTTCCTCTCCATTAAGAAGTTGGCAATCTGACACAAAATGCATTTTCGAGAATTTCTGGGTTGCAATCCATCCCCTGATTTCCCACAAGTTGCCTTCCCTTGTGAAAAGAGCTTCTCTTTTGCTTCGTTTTCAGGCAAATTGAAAATTACTTGGCAATGTTTTTGAGGCAACTTCATTGGGGTAATATGCTGGGACCGTGGGATTTTCCTTCCTTCCACGTGACTCCATCAGTCAGAAGATTCATGGCTGCAATGTTTCCATCTGAAGTGGCCTTGGGTCTTCTCGTGAGTTTTAAAACCAAATAAGGGAATCCAGAGAAGTTGCAAACAATCAAAGATGGGACACTGTTTTTTCCCCCCGTGTGGCTATTTGACAAGTGCCAAGACCATGCACTCCAATAAAGGAGAATATTTGTAGCTCAGAGTTGGCATGAAGGGTCTTTGGTTGTTTTCTTGCAGACATTTCATTGTTGTTGTTAGTTGCAAAGTCATGTCTGACCCATTGCGACCCCATGGACAACGTTCCTCCAGGCCTTCCTGTCCTCTACCATCCTCTGGAGTCCATTCATTTAAGTTCACACTGACTGCTTTGGTGACTCCATCCAGCCTTCTCATTCTCTGTCGTTCCCTTTTTCTTTTGCCCTCAATGTTTCCCAGCATTAGACTCTTCTCCAGGGAGTCCTTCCTTCTCATTAGGAGACCAAAGTATTTGAGTTTCCTCTTCAGGATCTGGCCTTCTAAAGAGCACTCAGGGTTGATCTCCTCTAAGACTGACCAGTTGGATGGCCTTGCAATCCAAGGGACTCGCAGGAGTCTTCTCTAGCACCTTAGTTCAAAGGCCTCAATTCTTTGGCGCTCAGGCTTCCTTATGGTCCAACTTTCACAGCCACCCATTGTAACTGGGAAAACCATAGTTTGGGTTTTACCCAGTGGGTGAGTTTCAAAATTTTTTGGAACCTCTTCTGTAGGTGTGACCTGCTTTCCGGAACCTCTTCTAACCGGTTCGGTAGATTTGATAAACCGGTTCTACCGAAGAGGTGCGAACTGGTAGGAACCCATCTCTGGTTTTACCAGACATTTCATTACCCAAACTAATAACATCATTAGTGCTAGTTCACTGTTCACTCCACTTTCGACAGGTTCAGCCCATTTTTTTCCTCTCTAAAAAAAACAACCCACCTTCGAAAGGGGCTCCAATTTCAGTGATTTCAAGGAGAACCTCTTCAGACAGATTGCAGATAAAATGTTTATCCGGCCTAGAGTTCAGAGCAGTGCTTGGGAATTCAGTCCAATGCTGCTTCCAAGGGCAAAATTTGGATAAATAAATCCAGGTCTGCTGAGAAAAGCACCAGGATTCTTTGCCAATAAGAAAAACAGTAAATTGCCTGAGTCAAGTTTTTTTCTTGCTTCCAAGAACTTTTGAATTATGGAAGATAATGCAACTTTACAGATCTTGTGGTAAGTTACAGAATATTGCCTCATTACATCCTTCCTCCAAGGACATGGCCAAATAGGGAAGCTAAGAGGAAGAATCAGTAATGTGGAATGTACATTAGTCCACTCCTGGCATTTCAGTGGTCAAAGAGCAGAGAATGGATGGCATTAAAGGCATTTAAGAGCAAAGGAAATAGCAATAGCACTTAGATTTAATTACCACCTCATAAGGTTTTATAACGGACGCGGTGGCTCAGTGGCTAAGACGCTGAGCTTGTCGATCAGAAAAGTCAGCAGTTCAGTGGTTCGAATCCCTAGCGCCGTGTAACGGAGTGAGCTCCTGTTACTTGTCCCAGCCAACCTAGCAGTTCGAAAGCATGTAAAAATACAAGTAGAAAAATAGGGACCGTTTTGGTGGGAAGGTAACAGCGTTCCATGCACCTTCGGTGTTTAGCCATGCCGGCCACATGACCATGGAGACGTCTTCGGACAGCTCTGGATCTTCGGCTTTGAAATGGACGTGAGCACCGCCCCTAGAGTCAGGATCGACTAGCACATATGTGCGAGGGGAACCTTTACCTTTCAGCAGGGGTAGGTTCTGGCAGGCACTACTGCCAGTTTGCTCATGGGCACGCTGTGTGCGCATGCACAGTGCAATAAAAATGTTATTCAGCATGTGTAGAAGCTAAAACCAAGATGGTAGCATCTATGGCGCCACCCAGAGAACTGGTTCGGGGGTGTGGCAGGCCTGGGTCGCTGCCAGTTCCAGCAACCCAGGCCACCAAACCACTACTGGTTCGGCCGGGCTGAACTGGTAGGAACCCACCACTGCTTTTAAGGTTTTATAGCACTCTCTGGGTGGTTTTCAAATTTCTGCTCTAGGGTTGACCTCTCTTAAATGGTCTTCTGCCCAATACTTCTTGTCCTGACCACCCTCTTGACCTTTGGAGTATAGGTTGATCCCCTCTTCTCTGTGACAGCCCTTCAAGTATTGGAAGACTGCTGTCATATCACCTCTGATCCTTCTCTTCNTGAATCTGACTTTCCTTTGCTTATCAGAAGGTTCGCAAAAGGGGGCCACGGGGCCACCACCACCCCCAGGGCACTGCGGCCGTCATAAGTGTGAGTCAGTTGGCAAGTGAATTTTGATCACGTGACCAGGGGAATTCTGCAGCAGTGTGAAAAGCGGTCATAAGTCACTTTCTCCGGTGCCGTTGTAACTTCAAACGGTCACTAAACGAACCGTCAGAAGTCAGGGACTAGCGTGGTCCCTTGGGGCAGCCGTTCTTGGAGCAGGTGGGAGGGGAGTGGGGGGGAGAGGACGGCCCAATGGAGAAAGCGAGGATGGAGGATGGAGGCTGGGCAGGTGGGGTGGTCGTGGGGTCCTCCCCTTCCCCTCCCATCTGGAAAAGGATGGGCTCCCCACTCCCCACTCCCCCATGGAGGAGCAGCCTTACTCCTCACTTCTCTGGAGGCTCCCAAGGGAAGACCAGGCGGCCTTTTCTCTGAGAAGCGACCAGGCCTCCAGCCTTGGGCTAAATCAGGGGACCCCCGACCCCCCCAAAGCAGCAGCCAGGTGCAGGCCACAGCCCATCCGGACCTCCCCCCCCCCCGCTCACCTTTCCTCCGGCTCTCCTCCAGCTCCCTCCTGGCCGTGTCGATGTAGCGCTGCACCAGAGCCTTCAGCACCTGGCGCCGATAAGACAGGCGGGTTTCCGTCCGGCCGACCCCCTCTTCCACCGAGGGGTTGCTCTGGGGAGCACAAGGGCATCGCAAGCTCATTTGATGGGCACCCCGGAAGCAGGCTGGAAACCCAGCCAGGAGCTCTGGATTCTATACGGTTCCTGCATAACCATTCCCCCGGAATCTTCCCTCCTTTCTAAACTTTATTACTATCTCATTTATTCAGATTTACACAAAACATACACACTAGTTTGTGGTCTCTGAGCTTGGTTGCGTTCTTGCTGGATGTTGCTTGCTCTCTGTTTATATATAAATAGTCTGCTTGCAGAGAGAAAGTCCCCCACCTCCTAGCACTGATGCTGTTCCCTAGTTGGGTCATGAAACGTCTGCAAGAAAGCACAGCTCAGAGAGCACCAAGGACCATACAGACCTCCCCCTCCTCCTCTCTTCTAGCACTGATGATGTTATCTACTCTCCAAGACCACCACCAGAGAGCATCGAAGGCCCCTCAATCTTCTCCCTCCTCCTCCTCCTCCTCCTCTCCACAACCCCTTCTCCCTTCTAGCACCGACGATGTTCCCTAGTTGGGTCCTGAAACGTCTGCAAGGAAAATCACCACACTCAGCCAGGAGCTCACAGTTCAATCCTGAGCTGTAAATATTCCCTGTCAGGTAATGAGGAATTAATAGCTGCCAACTGGTGTAAGGTTGTAAGCTGCAAGCTGATGCAATGAGGATGAATCAGCAATATAGGTATAGCCAGTTTAAGACTCTGATCCAAACTAGTCATTGACCATGTAGGTGGCCATTAGAAGGCGTTTATCTCGTCGTGTATCTCCTTTCTCTCCTTGTGTCCATAGCTGAGTGGTAAGAGATTTACCTACCAGGTGTGTGTCTGCATATATTTGTATATAAACCACTATTAATTCTCTAAAGCAGTGTTTCTCAACCGTGGCAACTTGGAAGATGTCCGGACTTCAACTCCCAGAATTCCCCAGCCAGCATTCGCTGGCTGGGGAATTCTGGGAGTTGAAGTCCGGACATCTTCCAAGTTGCCAAGGTTGAGAAACACTTGTGTTAAGTGAACCGTTGAAGTTGTTACATTAGTAAGACGGTTGTTTAAGTGAATCTTGGTTCCCCGTTGACTTTGCTTGTCGCAAAAAGGGGGTCACGTGACCCATGGACACTGCAGCGGTCATAAATATTGCATAAATAAATAAATAAATAA